ATGTACATTTTCATTTGTAAAATTATGTCTGAACTATTTTCAGTATAAAAAAGTAAAAAGCACAAACTACCATCAAACGTTAACTAAATGTATTTTTAGGTGCTACATTAATACATATTTTAGCAACTCGAATAAACTCGTATTTTAAAATAAAATTGCAATCCATCAGCTATTAATTTTTAGTTAATTTTCAATAAAAAACACAAATACCCAAACCCCACCACACAGAGCCGACGGAGCTTCTGCCATGCCGGCGGTGCCGACGCTGTAGGTATTGACCTAGCCATCATCACAGCGCTGCCCCTTCCCTAGGATTCGACAGCTTGCCGGAGCATCTCCGCCACCAGTAGGCCGGACCTCAATTGCTTCCGGAGGCTCTCGGCCTCGAATCTCTGTGGCGGCGTACCACCTGCTCAATTGCTTCCAGGGACTCCATCCCTTTACCGATAAACGGCGCCGACCGGCCTGAAATTTCCGGTGAACACGGCGGCTAGTTAATTCGAGGTCGATTGAAGAGAGAAAGGGAGAGAGAGATGGAGTCGATAATAAAAAAGTATCAGCAGAAGTTCAAGAGATTAAAGGATGATATGAGTCGATGGGAAGAGCTTCAGTCTCGGCTGCTTATACAATTTTCTAATGCCTCTTCCATTATCCAGAGGTTGCAGGTTCTCTCTCTCTCTCTCTCTCTCTCTCTCTCTCTCTCTTTATATATACNTCAATTTTTTTTTTTTTTGAAGATTTGTTTATTTGGCACTTTGATGTGTAGTTGATCGAAAATTCTAGTAACTATGGGGCTTTGAAATGTGTTGAGGGCATAGAGCGTGCTGTTTTGGCGAAGCAAATGGAGTCCCTGCAAATCATCTTGACCTCCATGAACAAGACCATGTAAGTGCTCCTTGTTGTTGTTGTTGTTGTTGTTGTTGTTGTTTTTTAGGGAACTTATGTTCTTCATGGAAATGATATAATTTAAACCGAAATAGGAAGATTTTACTTGTTGCTGTTGTAGTTTGAGTGCATTATTGTAGTCCTTTATTTCTTTAGTTATACAGAGATCACAATTGTGTTAAAAAATTTGGATACCTATTGACCATTTGCTTCTCTTTAACATATTAACCATTTGTTAGATAAATACAATCAAGGGCTGTTTGTAAAACTGTAATGGGTGGCATTTATAATTTTGAAAGCTAAAATGGAGGGTGTTACTTTTGTCTGTAAGTGTGTTTTAAACTTTTCGCACTCTGTTACTTGAATATTCCTTATCGTGTGAGTTTTATTAAGTGGAGAGCCACTTGTGTCTCAATTTCGTTGATAACTCGTTTCTCCCAACTAAATTGTTTGTCTTGTTCAAGCAACATTTAAGCTCATTGCATTTGCACAAAACCAATTAATTTGATGTGTGGAATGCAGAATTTGATTAACATCGTAGTAGGAAAAAAATGACTTTCTACTTTTTTGATCATTGAACTAACAGGGAAGAATTTCATGGGGTTGTCTCTTCTATTCAGAAGACAGTTCGTGATAGCAAGCAGCTCGTGAAAGTTGGTTCGTCCCAGATGACTTCAAAACAACTGAAGCAACAAGTTGGTGTAAAACCAACTCCTGCATATTGTTTAGAGGGACTTGGGCTTCTTGAAGAGATGCATCAATCAGAGTAAGTACGCTGAAAACCGTGTACTGTTGGCTTTTTTTTTTTTTTTTTTAANATTTTTTTTTTTTTTTTTTAATTTCTTAAATTTATGGTGCTTAGGGTCAAACCAAAGATGGTTTATGTTTATACATTGATAATAATTGACTGGAGCTATTTTTGTTCTGTAGTACTAGTAAATTTTAAGAAAAGCAGTTTAATCAAAACCTCATCTTTAGAAGATTATATATTGGGAGTTCTGTATATTTATTCTTAAGCTTGTTATTATTCTGAAGGAAGTATATCGATGAATCTACTTCTATTCATAATCTGATTAATTTGTTTCAATTTTAGATGTTTACGAGTCTAGCCTCTTCTTTTTTTCTTGAAGGTACCTTCTTAAGTTATCTTTAGTATCTGCTCTCCCAGCTCTTGCGTTGAAACCCAGGTAACTATTGCACGAGTGTTCAACCATTTCCCGTAGTGTTCTTCGATATTCTGCTAGAAATACGTTTGTGTGGTTATTTCAATGTCATAATTGCCCCATCATTTGTGTGGCACATCCTAATTTATGTGTATGCAAAGGTTTCATGTATGTGATTACTCAAATAGTTAAACACAATCCTTTGAGCTCAAATCCTTTCATGGTAAAATTATGTTATGCTGACTGTCCATTTCAATCTCAAATCTGTCAACCTTGCTTGTGAAGGTGCAGAATTCAGTTTTTATTTATTTTTTTATTTTTTTTTTCTCTAAATACTCTTAGCAAAAACAAGTATTCCCAATATATGCAAATGATATAGCTTTTTACTTCTCTTTCCATTGTCACTAATTTCTCAGCACATATTTTTGTTCTTTGTGCTATCTACATCCTTTCTTTTGTTTTCGTCCTTTAATTTTGATGATGATAATCTTATGCTTCTCAAACGCTGACCCACTTTTATAAACTTACTTTTGGTTTTATTTCATCTTTAGTGCAAATGATGATCTAGGTGCACTTCAACAACTACTGGTTGATCAACCTAATATTCCTCGTGAAGAAGGCAAGTTAAAATTCAGTTTTCCTATCAGGAAGTAATATTTCTTTTTCCTGTACTGTTGATACTATTCTGCTCGTAGCAAAATTTAGAATTAGATTTTTTTTTTCCCCTTTTTGCTTTCCATTTGTGCACTTGGCTTACAATTCATTTACGATTTTCACTGCAGTTCAGCTCATATATGATATTGTATTTGCTGAAGAAATCGCTTGAAGTGCTCTGAACAGCCATCCGCTACCCAAATAAATAAATAAATAAATAAATAAATAATTCTGGGGAATAACTGATTGAGGGTTTAGAAATGTTCGACAATGAAGATCCTTACTATTTGTGGTCTCGCCCCTCAAAGGATAGAAATCTTTCAGAAGTACATTGTTTCAAAAATCCAGGATCTGTTTAATTTGAGAGATTGTTCCGCTATATAGTGATTTTTGTTATGTTGTGTGTCGGCTAATGATTAGGGAAGTAATTACCATTTTTTTTTTTTTTTTTTTTTTNTTTTTTTTTTTTTTTTTTTTCCCTCTTTTCCAAATTGTGCATGCACTTTGTAGAGGATACAATGTGTAACCACCAGTTGCTTTAATAGTGAATCAAATTAACATTCTTTACCAGCATATGATTAATAGTCATATTTGGGACATGAGGATTTTGACAAATCAGTTATTTGTGAAGGTTTTTTCATTAGGATTTTGACAGCTCGGTTATTTGTGAAGGATTTTTCATTACAATCATTTAGATAGTTCTATGATTTGTGGAAAGGATTTCAAAGTTTTCCACAAAATATAATGAAACGAGATGAGCATTCAAAGTGGTTCAAATCCCAAACTCTCACAAAAAAACGTATGTTATTCCTCATATCATGTAAACTGCTTCTGGGAAATAATTATCCATACATTTCCAATTAAAGTTTCTGGTATCATTACATTTACAAGTTTTCCAAAGCATGTAAGTAATGCAAATTATTCAACTCGGTTGCTCATAAACTATGACCGGTCGACATAGAAAAGGAAAAAATAAAATAAAATACATTTTTGGTAACAGCTCGTCTACTCATTCCCGCCAGCAATCACATCACACATCACCATCCAATTGATCAACTAGAGAAAGTTAGTCATATAGTAAGTATTGTTACTTTCATAATTGGAAGTTGAATTGTCCTCAGGTGCACCAATCAAATGTTCTTGCAAGTATTATATTCGGGTAATAAATTCCTGTACACTAACAGTTGCGCATTTTAAACAC